CACACACACACACACACCACCACACACACAAAGAAAGAAGGAAAGATACTCTGGAGGCAGGTTGAGTGCTCAGGTCACACAGTTAGAAGACCCAGGGCAGGGCCTGAGTTCTCATCCTGTACCAGTGTGCTTTCTATTACAAACAGATAGACAGACACTATTTTAGGTTCTATGGGTCATACAGTCTCTATCATAACTGCCTGACAGTATAGCATAAAGTCAGCCAAAGGCTACATCTAAACAAATAAGCATGACCACATGCCAATAAAACATCATTATGAATAGTGAAAATTAAATGTATATAAACTTTGTGGATCATTAAATATAATTTTTAGATTTTCCTCAACTACTTAAAAATGCAAAATGTTTATTCTTTGTTCACAGCCTGTATACATCAGGCAACAAGCTGGATTTGGCCCAGGGTTTATAGTTTGTAGAGCCCTGATTCAGAGGACTTACAGGACAGTTTAGACACACATAACATCTATTGTTGTCATACTTTGACAATTCCCAGTTCACATAGTATCATCACCACACTTAATTTATATTGTCTTCCTTTTTAAAATCTCATTATCCATCATAAAAGAAAGTAAGATATAGTTAAAAGACTGTAATATACTTCGCTTTCCACCCATGTTTTACTACCACATTCTCTTTTAACAATCCAATGGATCTTCATTGTGCATTAATGCTGGAAATCTTCGAACTTGAGATACAAATCTATTCACGTCTCGCAAGGTTTCATGGTGTACATTCTGGCTGCTCCACTACAGTGAAATGGGACTGGATGTTCAACCTTAACTTTTCTTTTGATGCAAAACCACCTGCTTTATATGTGGCATTTTACCTTTCTGTAGATGCCAAAAATGGTTCCAATGGACACAAGGCAGTCAATATTGGAAGACCCATCGAGGGGATCAAAGCAGACCACATATTTACCCTGAGCAAAGAAAAAGAAATGCAACTGTAAAATAGTGTAACAAGATACAGAGTAGACACTAAGGGAGCAAAAAATGGGAATCTGGAGGAAAGTTCGAGAAATGTGGGTCTTATTTATTTATGCTCGGTCATGGAAGATATGAAGCAGAATACAAAATGAAGATGATAGATAATAGATCGACAAGCAGATAGATCATTAAGCAGAGAAAACACCACTTAGAATAGGAGGTGTGGATGAAGGTGATAAATTACAGAGAAATCATAATATCCTACATTGTTGATATAATCAGATCATAATTTTGGATTGAATTACCTGGCAGCGAAAGGAGAAATGAAAACAAGCTTACGTCACTCATTTCCCCTTATTCATAAGGGAAAAAATAGTAATTCCTTAGGTGAAGCAAAGACATTTCTAGAGTTGAGATCTACACGAAACTTCTCATGCAGATCTTATAGATGCCACTTGAGTTAGGGGTGCATAGCGTTCTCAACAATATCCCTAGTGTCATTCCCAGAAGAGATAACTCTCTGTTGTCATGGGACTACCAAAGATTCATTTTTTGAATGGGATTTTCAATGGTGTGCTGGAGCTGGTGGTATCAGCACTCAAAAGCTAACTGTGCACAGCTCTTCCCTACTGTGCTTTCAGTGGTGTCATGTTGGTAGCTTAACAGTAACCATGGGAGGGTATTTACACCACTGGAAGTGGTAGATGCAACATATCAGAGATTTTTTTTTTGGTTAGTTTGTATTTAGGTGTAGTTTATCAGCATACCACTGGGAATTTTCCATCTCCAAATTATCCACCTTATGATGTAATTTTTAAATGTGTTGCACCAGGTCAAAATGATGCCCTGGCCTCTTACTCTCAACAAATCACCCTCAGCCATGCAGAAGAAACTGGAAACTAGACAGGGGAACGTGCCACACATTGTAATCAGAGGAGTTTGGAGTGTTTGGTAGAGAATATTAAACAAATTCAAACCATATGTCTACAACTGCCAAAGACTTAGAAAGGTCCAGTAAAGAAAAATATGATCTTTGACATCTAGTGCTAGTTTAGGAATGATATAAAACAATTAGTCAGATATGACTCCATTACTTTTAATAAAGGTCAAGATAGACAGCCTCTTTAACTTTTATTCTGATTGTTGGTGGGTTTTTTTGTTTGTTTGTTTTGTTTTTGTTGTTGTTTTGCTTTCCTTCTATTTCTACTCCTTTATGTCACCAGGCCATCTCAAACATGGAAAGATAGTAAGCCCATGTAACTGCCCTCCTAATCTCAAAAGTTTTCTAAAAATTAGAATGGTTGTTGTTTTATAAAAACTGGATATATGCTTTCATTCAACAATATTTTTTTAACAACTATTTTTGACTAAGACCCTATAACATGCCTGGCTTCGTGCTAAATGCTGAGGTACAGAAGAATAAAATTCATTCTCTGCCCTCAAGAAAGCAATCAGACCAACAGGGATTCCAATGGATTCCAGTGCACCAAGAGGTAATAGAATTTCAAGCAGTGTGGGTTGGCAACAGGTAGGGAGTAATGACTGGGGATTTGTTCAATAGAGATGCAACAAAAGAGGTTGTCAACAGAAGCCAGGCTTTGCAGAGCCTTGAACATGGCAATAAGAAATGAGAAATGGACATGAGCCCATGGGAGTCCATGGGGAAATGATGATGGCATGAACCATGGTGGTGGTGTAGACAGTGGCGAGGGGAGGATTTGAGCCATGGTGGTAGCGAGGCGGAACCTGTGAAAAGATGACGGGGGATCTAGGGAGATTCGCAGAAACCCATCCTGGTTAAGCAAGTGGAGCTCTGCATGAAGCTAGGAAGAAAAACGGTTGCGTTAAAACCCTCAACAGTGAAAGTACAGACCCACCCTTTTTTCGGGTTCTACTATTATGGCTTGTTTATCTTCTTCCGACACAAGAACACAGGTGGCAAACGATGACTTTAACATGTTCATAACCAGGTCATTGGAGAGGACATCCAGCTTCTTAACCTGATCATCTGTCACGTTGGTAGAGCCAGCAATGCCATAGCTATAGGGAAGAGAAGCCACAAAAAGTGAGCTGTGACCACCAGAGTAAGTAGGTGTACCTATAAGCCCCACTAAAAGGGAATGTTGAGTAGGATTTAGAAGAAAGGAAAAAAGACACGTGGTTTGGGAGAAACAAGACAGGAAGTGTGGTCATGCCTCCTAGAGAGGCTTCTAGAAAGGAGAAGACACTGTCATCTACTTGCTGGCTTCATACCCATCATGGTACCGCACATTATAGTTTAATCGGTGTTTCTCAACCTTTTTTTCATTACGGTCTTCCCTAAAGAACCTTTTTAAGCATTTTTTTTTACTGACCATACTCTTCCACAGAATTTTGATTTTAATACTACAAATGTAGTATATTTATTTATTACTGTATGAATGTCTGAACTGAATGCATTAAAAGTTTGGGATTTTTTGTTTTTGTTTTTGCTCACCAAGAACTAATATTCACCCCCAAATGCATGGGTTAAATAAATCAATTGAATTGAGAGACACAGCAAGCAAGGAGGTCTGGTCTGGAATGAGCTTGAGATGTGAGCTAAAAGGATCCTAAAAGAAAAGTAGCATCGACTGGTTCTACCACCTCATTTTATAGAGGAGGAAGCTCAGGTTCCAAAACTCCTGTGGGCTTCTCCAAACTGCAGAGGCAGGGTAGAGGTAAGATACTCACTCTAACTTCCAGGCCAGGGCTCTCTTGGTGACTCCCCAGGGCCCATGGCAGGAGTCTTAGAGGGTGAAAGGAGCAAGGAATCTTTACTCTGTTTTTAAGCTACTGCGAGCCAGTAACTGCAGCATCCCCAGAATCCAAGTGGCTTGTCCAAAATGCAGCCTAGTTTGCTGGACTGAGAAAAGAGGCTGGTTGCCATAACCAAGCGTTGCACATGAACACAGAAAGGGGGTGGAGGGAGCGTTTTACAGGAAGCATGCCTGGAACAAGATAAGAGACTGGATGTGGAAAGGGAAAGAGATGAAGCTTTGGGTCAGGCTCGGTGGCTCAGCCTGTAATCCCGTGCCTTTGGGAGGCTGAGGTGAGTGGATTGCCTGAGCTCGCGGGTTCGAACCCACCTGGGCAACTTGGTGAGGCCTCATCTCTACAATAAATCAAAAATTAGCCGGGCGTGGTAGCACACGCCTGTAGTTCCAGCAACTTGGAAGGCTGAGGCGGAAGGATCGCCGGAGCCCAGCAGGTCGAGGCTGCGGTGGCCGGGAGCGACCACTGCACTCCAGTCTGGGCGACAGACTGAGACTCCAATTCAAAAAAAAAAAAAAAAAGAGAGATGGAGCTTTGAAGACACTGTGAGTGATAACTGTACAACTGCACCCTTGGCCAAGACAGCTGTGAGCTTGCCTGGGAACTGATTGCCACTTCTTCAGTGACTATGACTGTGACTGCTTCAATGCCTGAAAATGCATTTTCCCGAAACGTAATTTGCGGTGTCTGGCTGGGCAGCACGGAGCCACCCTAGAAACTGTCCAGTCCCAAATGCCTGGTGTGACCTAACTGTCTCAGGAGGTGAGTCCAGCAGACTCATCACGTCTACTTGTTGTTGTTGGCCACTTCTGGCGCCATAGCCTTTTCAGCCTGAGAAACACCTCTGGTTGTACCAGCACTCCTCCCGGCTACTTCCCTTCCCCCATCACTGCTATTTCTTTCTTTTTCTTTTTTTTGAGTTGGAGTCTCACTCTGTCACCCAGACTGGAGTGCAGTGGCATGCTCCCGGCCACCACAGCCTGGACCTGCTGGGCTCTAGAAATCCTTCAGCCTCAACCTTCCAAGTAGCTGAAATTACAGGTGCGCGCTACCATGCCTGGCTAATTTTGATTTATTGTAGAGATGAGGTCTCGCCAAGTTGTCTGGGCAGGTCTCGAACCCACGGGCTCCGGCAATCCTCTCACCTCGGCCTCCTAACGTCACTGTTATTTCATGAGTGAAAGGCCAAGGGACCTATGGGGTTGCAGCCGGAGCCTGTGTCTCTGGGCTTTGGGTTCTCTTTCCACATAATCTTTTGCTGACCTCAATGGTGAGGCCAATGCTGGTGGAGGAAGAAAGCCACCAAACTGAGGGGACCTGGGTACATGGCAAGGCCACCAACCCAAATAAAAGTCATTTCCCTCACCGGTCCCATAAGCGGCAAGGTTCTTTCCCTCCTAGCCCAAGATGTCCACCACGAAACTCACTGATGATTCAGCACAAGGACCTGGGCTTTAGGACAGAGACTTGGTTCAGATCTCAGCTCCGCGAGGTCCCGGTCCTCTCTGAGCCTCCCTTCCTTTTGCATGTGTCCAGGGAGGGAAATGATGTCTGCCTCCTGGGGCAGATCGAGGAGTGCATAGTCCTTGGTGCCTGACAAGTATAGCCCAACGGGGACCATTCTAGGGCGGCCTAGGGAGCAGGGCTGGGTGGGAGGGAGGCTGATGAATGGGCCACTGAGGCAGACACAGGAAAGAAGGAAAGGCCTGTGTCTCCCACTGGCCCGAGTTCCACCTGCTCGGGTACCTTCCTCAGGGACACTTCGGCTGGTTCCTTTTACTCTAAAGCTTCCGAGAGGCCTGAGGGCTCCTTTATTCCACAGATATTTATGGGGACACACAGTGCGTGGGGAACTGCTCTGCGTGCGGGGGTTCCGTGCTGAACAAGAGAGGTGAAGACCCCGTCTCCTCTCCTGAAGCTTCCATTCTGGTGTGGTGAGACAAACAAGACGCAAGAAACAAATCCGTGTTGTGGAATGAATAAGGTGATGTCAGATAGTGACAGAAGCTCCCTGTTATAAAATAAAAACAAGGAGAGGGCAGGAGGTAGGAATTGCAGGGCGGGTGGTTCTTTTAAATGGTCAAGGAAGCCGGGCTCGGTGGCTCAGCCTGTCATCCCGCGCCTTTGGGAGGCTGAGGTGAGTGGATTGCCTGAGCCCCTGGGTTCGAGACCCACCTGGGCAACTTGGCGAGACCTCATCTCTGCAATAAATCAAAAATCAGCCAGGCGTGGCAGTGCGCGCCTGTAATTCCGGCTACTCGGAAGGCTGAGGCGGAAGGATCGCCGGAGCCCAGCAGGTCGAGGCTGTAGTGGCCGGGAGCGACCACTTCACTCCAATCTGGGCAACTGAGTGAGATTCCAACTCAAAAAAATAAAAATAAAAAAATAAATGGTCAAGGAAGGTCTCTCTGCGAAGGGGGTATTCAACCTGAATGGCATTTCGAATGTTTTTCATAAGAAAGGGAGGAAATGAAAAAGCCCTCAAGGAGCCCGAATAAGTCAGCTAGTAAGGACTCCAAAGAAGAGTTCACGTCAGTAATTTATCCAAAGAAAACATGAAGTTCATTTTTTACATATTTCCAAGTGGAAGAGGGGGACACCGTGTGCGCATTTATGCAAGTAACTTCTAAAAACTCGAGGTCTTTTTCTCGTGATACCCGGGTCCAGGAGCATCAAAATTTGGAGAAAAGGGACCCAGAGGAAAAAAATCTGTACATGGCTCATCTGACAAAAGGCCAGCTCTGATTTGCAGTTTTCCTGGGCTGATCCCACTAGCTTAAGAGAGACAAGTTTGCCTGCAACTTGTATCAAACACGGGGTCGCCACAACTCGTGTAGTGGGATTAAATGCAAGTAGGTGAGTTCCAGGTGTGCTGGGCTACGTACCCTGAGCTTGCAGTTGGCCAGACTGAAGCGAGAAGCAACTTCTGTTGCCCTGGATCATGCCCTAGCCTATGAGGTTTTACAGTTGGTGTCAGGGTAGGCAACATGCCCAAGCAAGACCATAAGCCAGGTTTCCTCACAGCTGCTCCAAGATTCCAAGATGGCGCCCACCCTTGAGTCACAGAGACTCAGTGAAGTCAAGGTCAGCAAAGGGTGGCACACCCTGCCCCCGATGGAAGTCATGTGGGGCCATATAACATGCTGAAGGGATGGACAACATAGGACAGCTGTCTCCAACCTTCAACTTCTTTGTCATCAGGGACCAGTTTCATGCAAGACAATTTTTCAATGAATGGAAGCAGGGGAAGTATAGTCAAGCCTCACTGCTAATGTGAATCTGTATTTGCAGCCACTCCCCAGCTCAGATCATCAGGCATTAGATTCTCATAAGGAGCATGCAACTTAGATCCCTCACATGTGCAGTTCACCTTAGGGTTCACACTCCTATGAGAATCTAATGTTGCGCTGATGGGACAGGAGGCTTGCTCAGGCAGTAATGTGAGTGATGGGGAGCAGCTGTAAATACAAGAAGCTTCACTCCCGCCCACTGCTCACCCCCAGCCGTGCAGCCCGGTTCCAAACTGGCCATGGTCTAGTACTGGTCTGCGACCCAGGGCCTGGGGACCCCGATGTATGTACCCTTACCATACCCTGCACTGACGTGACCATCTTCATCCACCCAACTGTGGCAGACAACTGGCTCCACTGCCTTTGGGGTTTCCATGACACCACTGGGTGGTGTTAAGCTGGTTCTTGACCCTTTCTTCAGAACTCCTCTTTATCCCCCCATTCTGACAGGAAGGACCCTTTCCGACTGTCCTCCAGTTGGTTATGAAGCATAAAAGGACATGCAATGATAGATTATTCTGGGACCCTCAAACTCAGAACTCACGTACTCTATAACTTTCCTAGGATAGCTTGCTGGAGGTTTTTCCCTGGTGAGTACGGACATTAAGAAACCTTTCAGAAAGACAAGAAAATGATTCTAAAGTAGAAACTAAGTTCAAAAGAATAGATTCTCAGGCTAGCACCAATAGTGCCGCCAGGCTGGTAGTAATGACGTCCGGGTTTGTATAATTTAATGATTGAGCCGCAGCTCAGCACATGAAGTTAGCCTTGGGTTTCTCTCTCTGCACTGCGTTATTCTGGCCAGGGATGCGAAGACACGATGACCAGTCAGGCCAAGGCAAACGCTCAATCAAGCTTCTCCCGACACACCTCAGGGGGACCCTAAGAAGAGCTTCAAGATGTCTCTGAGGTAACACATTTCCATGGGTCAATGAAAAGCAGGATGCAGGCAAGGCTTCTGTGAGGCTGACAAAGGAAAACAGCCCTTAGAAATACCCTGAGGAGCTAATTTGCTGAAGAGTCCCTGGAGTTTATTTTCTCCAGCAGTTTTCAGAAACCCCCTCGGAAACAATAAATGTCTGCCTGCTGACAAGTTACCATCCCTCAAAGGCCCCGAAGGATAGATTAGCAGGAGCCGTCACTCTGCATTCCCATGACCACCCAGAGAGGGCAGGGTGACCTGCCTACAGCCAAGAGCAGATAGGCCTTAGCTCCTCCCAGGACAGGCCCAGACCTTTGCTCAGCCCACTGACCAGGGCTCAGAGAGCATCTACTGTGTTCCCTAAACTGAAGTCCTAGGAAGACTCCAAGAAAGTCTGCAGGGGCCAGAAGACTCGCCCTGGCTTAGACAGCATTTTAATGGCACCAACGGCCCTCGATGAGACTTGAGCAAAGCCTTTTCACACACCACCGGGCTTCCTTTTGGATCCGTTCCCGATTCCACTCTCTGGGGCCAGATAAGGCAGCCAATGAGGCCACAGGGATATGAAAAAGTGTACAGGTTTTCCCGTGAACAACCTTGCCCCCAAAAGCCTTCCCTGGAGCCAACTCTGCCTTGCAATCGATAGAAAGAGAGGCAAGCTGAGACTGCGAAGAAATGGGTTGACTGAGCAAGTCGTAAACCTCTGAACCTACCCCCCCCACACCCCCTACCCCCAGCAAAGGGGTCAGTAGCAGGTGGGGGTAGGCAAGGTCATTTCAACTCAGCCAGTCATTTAATCTGCCAGGAAATGTTTCCCAACTGGGAGTTATCACAGACGACAAAGGCTACATTGTGAGGTTGCCTCCACCTTTTCATCTGGGGACCTCGCAGGAGAAAAGTCAGATCATGAGGGATGAGGGGAGGAAAATGATTCGAGGCCTCCCCCGAGAAGCAGCAGACAGAAAGCAGGAGGACAGGTTACTTGCCGAGGCCTGAGGGCCACGGGCCGCTGATGTGGGTAACAGAATTTAAATGTCCTGCACACCTTAGCAAGGAGTGAGGGCAGGCTGCCTTCAAGATGCAACCCCAGAGCTCTGAAACGGGGCACAAGATCACACAAATTTCATCTACGCCCAGGTATGGGTGAATTAACAGCTGGCTCTCGGAAAATTGACATTTCTAGGACATGCCTTTACTATTCCAGAAGACCCAGGATATTCGGTTTCCACATATCTAAGTCAAAGTTAAGATTTTCTTGAGAATAGAAAAGACAACAATGATGATGAAACACTAATGATATCGTCATTTATACTATATTTATATCTATTTTAAAATTCCATCCCGTGTTGTATCTTAAGTGAATAAAACAAATATATATATATATAATCTTTTTGGTAATTTTAATTACAGGGTTGTGTTTTTTTTCATAGAAAGAGCAGAGTTTGGCCAGACTCGGTGGCTCAGCCTGTAATCCCAGCGCTTTGGGAGGCCAAGGTGTGTGGATTGCCTGAGCCCGCGGGTTCAAGACCTGCCCGGGCAACTTGGCGAGACTTCATCTCCACAATAAATCAAAAACTATCCGGGCATAGTAGCACGCACCTATAGTTCTGGCTACTTGGAAGGTTGAGGCAGAAAGATCGCCGGAGCCCAGCAGGTCGAGACTGCGGTGGCTGGGAGCGTGTCACTGCACTCCAGCCTGGGCGACGGAGTGAGACTCCAACTCAAAAAATAAAAATAAATAGAAAGAGCAGAGTTGGCTAACGTGAGTCCTATTCTTGCTCCTGATAGATACATTGTTGGTTAACTGGCATGACTCTTCAATAGGGGGCAGCTTCTGGAAATAAAACCACAGCACCTGACCTGGAAAATGAAACCAGTTAACTGATTTGGATAGTTTGGATGGATACCCAAAGAGGGCTCTGAGCCTGAAGCTGAAGACACTCGGACTCCATCATGCCAGGAGCCTGGCCATGGTTTCAGGAATGAGACAACAGCAGTAGTGATGTCACATAACCCTCCCAGAGGGCCTGCGGGGCGAGAGGGTCTATTCTCCCAACCTGCAGCCAGAGAAGATCAGGATAGCCCACAGGACTGGAGGGCACGGCCTCTATGGGACATCATCTTGATGGCCTTCGGGACGGCCCACTTTTTTCTAGGAGTCAATGGGAGGGAGGCCACAGACGGAGATGCCGCCCCTGAAAACGCTGTCTAAAACTCCGATGTCAGCGGGCTTGGGCCAACCTGCTCTGCACAGGAATGCTGAGAGTAGGAGGCCTCTGGGCTCTGGCAGCTCACCCACTGGGCCAGCCTAAGGACAGTCAACACCCGCACAGTTTTCCACTTGGGGACATTTGCAATTAGATCCTTACAGGTGGCGGGGCTCGGTGGCTCAGCCTGTAATCCTAGCACTTTGGGAGGCCGAGACAAGTGGATCGTCTGAGCCCGCGGGTTCGAGACCAGCCCGGGCAACTTGGTGAGACCTCATCTCTCCAATAAATCAAAAATTAGCCAGGCATGATAGTGCGCACCTGTAGTTCTGGCTACTTGGAAAGCTGGAGCGAAAGGATCACCGGAACCCAGTAGATCAAGGCTACGGTGGCCGGGAGCATGCCACTACACTCCAGTGAGACTCCAACTCAAAAAAAAAAAAAAAAAAAATCCTTATAGGCAACCTGATAATTTTCTAAGGAGGTCTGAAGCTAAAACTGAGGATATTCTCTGAGAGGGCTGAAACTCTTGCACATGCAAGGCACCTCTGAATGTGCCTCTGGAGAAAGAAAGACCTACGTGTTTGTTTGTATATTGAGTCAAAGTCTCACTCTGTCACCCAGGCTGGAGTGCAGTAGCACAAGCATGACGCACCACGTCTCAACTTCCTGAGCTCAGGCGATCTTCTTGCCTTAGCCTCTCAAATAGCTAGGACTACACCAACACGCCCAGCTAATTTTTTTATTTTCTGTAGAGACGAGGTCTTACTATATTGACCAGGCTGGTCTCGGAAGTCCTGGACTCAAGTGATCCTCCTGCCTCGGCCTCCTAAGGTGCTGGAATTACAAGCGTGAGCCACTGAGCCCAGTCTTCTACCAGCTCGTGAGCCTGAGCAAAAGAATGAGATCCTTAAGCACCCAGAACAAAGTTCACATGCAGTAAGTGCTCAGTGAACACTTTTTGATTGATTGGATGATTTTAGAGAGTAATAAAGAGATCCAAGAACTCCTAAGATTGCAGATGCCTTTAGACCCAGTGGTTTTGGTAACACCTCCCTTCACAATCATCATCCAAGACCCTCCACCCCTGGGGGGGGTGACCCTCCCCAGATTAGCATGACCTCTTGATAACAGTGTGTTTGCAGAGCAAACTCTGTGTTAAGACAAATGCAATGGCTCTTCCCTCCAGCCAGTTCATCAGGAAACTGCAGGGTGTCATGGTCAAGGCCAGGCTAGGACTGTAGATCACTGGGGTTCAAATCCCAGCTCTGCTAGGTGCAAAGCAGCCTAGTCAAGCCATTTAGCAACTCTGGTTTCTGGTTCTTCATCTGTGATATAGGAATACGGTATGTCTGCTTCATAGTCTTTGGAGGGGGAATAAATGAGTTAATATGGCTAAAGGGATCAGAATAGCACCTGTGCATAAGCAAGTGCGCAAGAACACTACTGCTCCACACCCCTGCCTAACTCCCTCGGCATGAACACGACCACACTGACAATCAAGGCAGGATCTGGGCAATAACTCAGCACCAGAAGGCCTGGGTTCAAATTCTGCCTTCCCAAGCCCAAGAGGGAAGATTACTTGAGGCCAGGAGTTCAAGACCAGCCTGGGCAACATAGGAAGACCCTGTCTTTAAAATTTTTTTTTTAAATATATAGCTAGGAATGGTGGTGCATGCCTAAAGTCTCAACTAACTTGGGATGCCGAGACAGGAGGATCAGCTGAGGCCAGGAAGTCGAGGCTTCAGTGAGCCAGGATCATGCCACTGCACTCCAGCCTAGGTGACGGAGTGAGACCTTGTCTCCAAAATAAAATAAAATCCTGTCTTTCCTTATTAATGATAATGAGACCTCCATCAAGTTGTTCAAACTCCCCGAATGGCTCTTTCTGGCCAGGTTTGTAAGGATGGTGGATAACACATGAGATGCACTTGGTCCACAGCAGTCACCACGACGGCAGCCATCATTGATCTTAACCTAGCCTTACTGGCATCCACCAAGTAAGTGTTGGTTGATGAGAGGGGTGGGGCAGGGGAAACCATCTCTAAACCAGTTTTACAAGCAACTCCCAGGAAAGCAGCCAGCATGGAACTGTGATCACAGGTAACTGGCAAAAAAAAAAAAAAAAAAGTTTACATTTGATACAATCTCACCAGGGATATGATTTCGAGAGACGTTTATGACATTGCACTTCAATTTCATTCAAATTAGTTGGCCCTATAGCCCAAGTGGAAAAATCACCTCGCCAGGGTTAAAGTCCCTGCGATCTTTCTCTTTCAAACACCCAGAGACACAAAAGAGCTTTTTCTGGAGTTTGAGGAGCAGAACTTAATTTGAGAAGTTGTCCATAATATCTCTTCTTTTGCTTCTGCTGTAAACCTCACTGAAACTTTTTAAAAGCTGTAAGCCATTTTAATTCATTGGATACGGAGTTCCTTAAAAGCACAGGTTACTTTGGCCAGTATTTTGAGATCTTTGGAAATCTGGATTAAATACTAGCATTGTTTTCCAAGTTTGCCTGTCGTTTCTAAAATGGAATGAGCCGTTTCACCACCATGAAGCCTAGGATACTGGACACAGATTTATGATGATTGGGAGAAGCTGCCTCTCACAGCATTTCTGAAGCACAGCATCAGATGCAAGGGTCAGAACCAGGGGCCACCACCACACTTAGAGCCCTTGATGACTTCCTGGAGTTGCTAACTGACTTAGGACTGTTTCCACCTAACGTCAGCACTTCAGACAGCATGCAAAATCATCAGGCTCGACTAAACAACACCCGACTAAACAAAAACGGACGTGGATTATTGTTTAATCCTTCTCGCAAAAGTCAAAGGTAGCACTGGCTTGTTATTGATTGACTGCACGGTAATGAACCATTCACCCCGCCGGGAATATCCAAGGGCTAGTTCAGAAAGACTATGAAGAAGAGGCACCAACCAGAACAGCTTTCAGAGGTCACAAACCCCAACTTTTGCCTGAATTCACATGGAAGGAAAATGGACATACAGGACAGCGCATGGCTGGCTGTGCTTGTTTTTGTTTTTCGTTTTCATGGAAAGGAAGTTGCAGTTCCTCTTTGGTCCTATGAGGAAGATAATTCAAGGAATGTAACATAGATCTGAGAAAGTTTCCAAATCTTCAATAAGCTCTGCAAATTTGAAGATAAGCTTAGGCCAGGCACAGTGGTGAATGTTTGTAATCCTAGCACTTTGGGAGACTGAGGCAGAAGAATTGCTTGAGTACAGGGGCTCAAGAACAGCCTGGGAAACACACCAAGACCCCAACTCTACAAAAACACTAAAATAAAAATTAGCCGGGCATGGTGGCTCATGCCTGTAGTCCCAGCTATTCAGAAGGCTGAAGCAGGAGGATCGCTTGAACCCAGGAATTTGAAGTTGTATTGAGCTATGATCACACCACTGCACTCCAGCTTGGTGACAGAGTAAGACCCTGTCTCTAAAAAAATCAAAAAGAGAGAGATAAGTTTAAACATATATTAGCTCTTCTGTCATTCCAAAATAAAAACTGAAGTTCTTTATTATTTTCTTCTGTCAGATAACTGAGAAGACCACACATCTAAAAGTGACTTTTCTGGACACAATATGGACAGGATGGGAAGATGTTCCCTGTAACCATTCTGATGGTGCAGCATTGTTCTAATATGTAATGTTCTAGCCCAGACTATATCCCTGCTGATACAGGCAGGCGACTGCTAAGGAATAAAGAGCAAAATACAGACACAACAGTTTACAAAAAAAAAAAAAAAAATGATGACATTGGTACCCTATACGTGAACTCAGTTTATCCTCATATAGCTGAGGTTGAAAAAACAGTTGTCTCCATCTTACAAGTGGGGAAATAGAGGCTCAGAGATGCTACATCAACGGCCCAAATCCTCCCAGAAATTAAATGACAGAGCCCGAAATTTAAGCCCTGCTCCCTCTCTCTCCAAAATGTGCTCTTAAAGCCTTGCACATTCCTGCTAACCCTAGTTTAGATTTTCTTTTCTTTTTCCCTGCCTCGAAGCAAATGTGCCAAAATCCAGTGGCCAAATCTTTAGTCAGCGCTTCATGCCTAAATGCCAGACTGGCAAGGCCTGCTGTAGGCTAGACAGCATCTCCAACTGGATGGCCCCCAACACCTCAAGTTCAAAGTTTTCAAAACGTTGGCAACCTTTTCTCTCCCTCTCCCAGCCTCTAAAAACCAGCTCCTCCTTGAGAATCCTGTTTCTGTCTTCGTGTGGTTTTGTTTTTCGATGGCACAAGCCTGTTCGCAGTTGGTCTCAAGTCAGCACTTTGAGACCCACCCTCGCTGCCCTTCTCATCCGACCCACGCTCAGACTCCTCCTGATTCTCCCCCTCCTCCGCTGCCTCCCCACATCCCGTATTTACCTTCTTCCAACTCTACACTTCCAGCCACAGCGTCCTCTCTAATCGTGCCACTTGGCCTCTCAGAAACCTTTCACAAACCTTCACTCTCTTTGCCCACGCTCCAACAGATATCAAGTGTTTACCCTTGCCATTCAAAGCATCCCGATGCACCTGTGCTTTCACATCCACAAACATCCCACCACACGCACCTCACGCGTGGTCCGGCTGAACGAGTGACTTTTTCAGAATCACTTTCCCACCTCGGGACTTTCCTCACTCGATCACCCAACCTGAGCCGCTCTCTGGCCATCAGGTCTATGACCGGTCACCTTCTACTGCCCACTGCAAATGCCCATCTTGGGGACTTCACAGTCCTTTACAACTGAATTGTATTTGGGGCACCTCTATGAAAGTATCTTTCAAAACCTTTATTGGACATTATAACTAATTCTACACTTGGCTTATTTTTTTTCCCACAGTGTAACCTCTGTGTCATTCTCATCTCTCAATCTCTTCCAGAACTTTGTGCACAGTAAGGGTTCAATAATATTTTTTTTTTTAAGTCAAGGTCTCACTGCACTCCACTGTCATCCAGGCTGGAGTGCAGTAGCATGATCATGGCTACCACAGCCTCAACTTCCTGGGCTCAGGTGATCCTTCTGCCTTAGCCTCCTGAGTAGCTGGGACTACAGGTCCATGCCACCATGCCCAGTTAATTTTTTTATTTATTATAGAGATGAAGTCTTACCATGTTGCCCAGGCTGGTCTCAAACTCCTGGGCTCAGACAATTCTCTTTTCTTGGCCTCCCAAAGTGCTGGGATTACAGGTGTCAGCCACCACCGTGCCTGGCCACATTTTGTTAAATTGAATGGAATCAGTGAATTCTTCAGACCGTGATTCGGAAACATATACAAAGAGAAGTCAACTCCATGTTGACTCCACAATACAAAGAAGCCTAAGTCCCTGGAGAATGGCTATCTCCCAAAGGAATGAAAACTAAGAAGCCGGGGTCGGTGGCTCAGCCTGTCATCCCGCGCCTTTGGGAGGCTGAGGTGAGTGGATTGCCTGAGCCCGCGGGTTCGAGACCCGCCTGGGCAGCGAGACCTCATCTCTACAATCAATCAAAAAAATCAGCCGGGCGTGGTAGCGCATGCCTGTAATTCCGGCTACTCGGAAGGCTGAGGCGGAAGGCTCGCCGGAGCCCAGCAGGTCGAGGCTGCGGTGGCCAGGAGTGGCCACAGCACTCCAGTCTGGGCGACCGAGTGAGACTCCAACTCAAAAAAAAAAAAAGAAGTTAGGCTCGGTGGCTCAGCCTGTAATCCCGCGCCTTTGGGAGGCTGAGGTGAGTGGATTGCCTGAGCCTGCAGGTTCGAGACCCGCCTGGGCAGCGAGACCTCATCTCTACAATAAATCAAAAAAATCAGCCAGACGTGGTAGCGCATGCCTGTAATTCCGGCTACTCGGAAGGCTGAGGCGGAAGGATCGCCGGGGCCCAGCAGGTCGAGGCTACAGTGGCCAGGAGCAGCCACTGCACTCCAGTCTGGGCGACCCAGTGAGACTCCAACTCAAAGAAAAAAAAAGAAAACTAAGAAACAGGGCAACGCTTGAATTTGACATATAAACTATCAACTTACAGGCTGCTAACAGAAAGCTTTCCCTTTTCAGCTCCTACTTGCCAGGATCTGCTGGTCTTCTCTTCTGGGCATGGGTGCAGGGGAGCCAGGAGCACAGAGAGAAGGCTTCCATGGCATGCGTGTCAAAGCCAAGGATTCCTTGGGATATAAATCTTAAGTCACTTGTTAAAAATGTAATTAATGGATGAGATTTAGGGTTTGGCAAACTTTACCTGATTTCTAAAAACTAAAGAAAAAGATGTATGGTGTGGCAAAAAGAGCCCCAAGCTGGGGTTCCAGAGACCTCAGCCACAGACCAAGTCATCTCATCTTCCCTGTCCTCATCTGTATGAGGAGGAGACTGGGCTAGGTGACTGCTAATTCTTCTTCAGTTTAAAACTCTGTGGTTCTAGAAACATCTTATTAGGAGTAATGAAAGTGACTATTAAAGCAACTTTAGGTTAACAGAGAGAAAGAATGCACCAGGCTTCATGCTTAAACTCCTGATGTCTCCATGATGAGGCGTCATGGTGAACTCTGTAAACTAATTCTGGCAAGGTTCCTGCAAATCTACAATCAAGACCTCTGCATTAATGAGTTCTTTGCAGCCATCCTGGCTTTTCATCCAGGATATCAAAGCCTGTAATGAATATAATTTGGGGACTCGCTTGAGATCTTGTCTCATTGCTGCCTGCCTGACTACAAGTCACACTGAGAACAGGCAAACTCTGATTTTCTCACAAGAATAGAGTCCAGCATCTGGTCCTCCCTGTCAGGGAGGTCCTCCAGGTCCTCCTACCCACACAATCAGGTGACAACGCCTGTTCTAAGGCTACAACACTGTAATAGCCAGAGACCCGTGAAAACATAAATACCCCAAAACAGAGAAAGAGTTCAATAACTCCTGCTAAAGCTGTGCAATGGAACAAGACACGATAGTTAAAAGGTGGGTAGATGTCTATATCTTGACATCAAAGCATGTTCATTACATCGTGCTAAATGATAAACTGCAGAAAAGTGTGTTAAGTGTGACCCATTTTGTTTGCTATTTACCTATAAGCATATGTGAATATGTGTTCATGTATGTGAGCATAAAGAACTATCTGGGAAAATAACCAACAAATTGCTAACAGTTGATACCCCAGGGAATGATTATGGGTGAGTTTCACTGTTTTCTTTGTGTTCTTTTGACTGGCTTGAATTTCTGTCAGTGAGGGCAACTTGCTAAGTAGTTTATAACAATAATATTTTTAAAGCCTAGTGTTTGCAACTATCTAACCTAAAAATACACATATCTAATGTGGCCAAAATTAGCACTCTTTGTCCAGGCTGCACTATCAAAATCTCCCTATCTGAGGCCCTACTACTTAAGGTTACTTAAAAGGGGGGATATTTTGAAACAGATCTTGCCTCTCTGCGTCTCTCTGGGGCTGTGAAAGATACTGACACATTTTTAAAACAGTGTCAGAGCTGGGCATGGTGGCTCGTGCCTGTAATTCCGGCACTTTGGGAGGCCAGTGTGGGAGGATTGCTTGAGCCCAGGAGTTCAAGACCAGCATGGACAACATAGTGAGAATCTGCCTCTACAAAAAAATAAAAACATGACTCAGGTGTGGCGGCATATGCTTGTAGTCCCGGCTACTAGGGAGGCTGAGGCAGAAGGATTGTCTGAGCCTGGGAGTTCAAACCTGCAGTGAACCGCGATTGCGCCACTGTACTCCAGTCTAGGCAACAGAGTGAGACCCTGACCAAAAAAATAAATAAAACACACACACACACACACACACACACACACACACACACACACACACACACCAGAAATGACACGAGCTATTTTTTTTTAAAGTTCCCTGTGAGGGCACCTGTACTAGTTGCAAACTAAATTTGAAGTAAGATTTTACCTGCTTGTGTTTCCCAAAGGAAAGAATCCTGCTTTATGAAGAATAACCAGTGGTGACAGTAATGAGGTCAATATCTTCCTAACCATATATGTCTTTACCTCTCTCCCAGCAAGGGCTGCTCCTGCTTGATATCTGTAAATGTAATCATACACTCCTTTATAAGAATTTGTACCATCAACTCCATACTACAGAACCAGAGCCAGACAACTTACCAGAAAAGGAATCCAGGTTGCAGGGTGGAAGGGAGTTTTTAAAAATGCAGAACTGCATTCCAGAGTAGCAGTGTTATGCTTTCCAGCTCAGCCATGAACTTCGTGTGTCATTTTTTTTTTTTTTATTTGAGTTGGAGTCTCACTCTGTCGCCCAGACTGGAGTGCAGTGGCTGCTCCTGGCCACCGCAGCCTCGACCTGCTGGGCTCCGGTGATCCTTCTGCCTCAGCCTTCCGAGTAGCTGGAACTACAGGCACGCGCTACCACGCCCGGCTAATTTTCTGCTTTATTGTAGAGATGAGGTCTCGCCAAGTTGCCCAGGTGGGTCTCGAACCCGCGGGCTCAGGCAATCCACTCACCTCAGCCTCCCAAAGACACGGGATTACAGGCTGAGCCACCGAGCCCTGCTCGTGTGTGATTTTTACAGTGTTCTTACATGGGGGAAAGGTGAGGAAGGAATATGGACAATCTGAAACCCCAGGCACTCTTTAAAGTGGCGGGTCTGTTCATTATAAAGTACTTGTGCACACCAGCACAAACCCAAGAATGCCGTGTGACTTGCAAAAGTAGGCGCCTTTTGGGTCACCGTGCCCTCTGACTCCGCTCCTCACCATGTGATCTGCAGACGGGCAGCTGCAGATCGGCACTGCCCACCCCAGGAGAACTCAGAAATGCAGAATTCTCAGACCCCATCCCAGACCTCCTGAAGGAAGATGCATGTCTTAACAAAACCCCCAAAGCATTTCTGCGCACACTGAAGTTTGCTATGCACTCCCGGGCTCATTCAAAACCATTTCACTTACAAACAGCTCTTGGGCCATGCGTTAACTGGGCTAGGACTGCACGCACGATGATTGCAAAGGAGTAGAGGTTTTGAAGTTCTCAGTGGGAGTGTTCGCTGCTGACGGGACAGCACAGCAACTGCTGCCAGAAAAAGCCAGCCCCCGAGCACTGCTGCGCCTGAGCCCTCCGGGAATGCTGGCTTCCTTGCGGCCATCCTGGGGGTCCACTCCCCGCAACAGGTCTCTTCGGGAGACACCGATCAGAAGCCTGACTTGGGTCCCCCGAGGGAATGAAGGAGGGCAGAGAAGACACAGAGACAGGCAGGCACCTGAACTAGCCGTGCGAGGAGGACCCCGGACCTGCGGGGGGAGGCGAGGGTGGATAGGGCGGGCAGATCAAGTGCCGGCCCGTGGCCGAGCAGAGTCGCCAGGAGCAGGCTGAGAGGGGGCCGAGGCTGGCTGCTCGGCCGGAGGCGAGGAAGGTGGGACGCAGGCAGGCGTGCGCCTCCAGGTGGCACCTCCAAGTGAAGGGAGTGGGGCAGGGTTTGGGTGCAGCTGGGCAAACGTCCCGGGAGAGGGAGAGACTCAGATGTCGCCGCACAGGCGGAGGCGGACAGCAGCAGACAGGAGAAGCCAACGCCTGCC